GGAAGTTACTGGATATATTTAGCTTTTTACCTATAGCAGCAGTGATTATCTTTTTTTTTTAATTTTAAATTTTTTTGTAAGCGTTTAGATTAGTATAGCAGTTTATTATCTTCATAAGTCCCATGACTGTTTATAGTTGTAGGGTCGCTGCGCACCTGAGTACCTATTAGCTATATGTCTTTGTATTTTTAGTTTGTTTGGTTTGTTTGGTTTGTTTAGATTTACGGCATATCAACACCTCAATGGGTCATTTAATGTCGACAACTTTTTTTTTCCTGGTAATATTTTTGTTTTGTCAAAAATCTATTTCTGTTAATATTTTTTTTCCTCAAAAATGTATAGCTGGTAATATTATTTTTTTCAAAAACGTATAGCTGGCAATTATTTTTTTCAAAAACGTATAGCTGGCAACACTATTCTTTCAAAAAAACGTATAGCTGGCAACACTATTCTTTCAAAAAAACGTATAGCTGGCAACACTATTCTTTCAAAAAAACGTATAGCTGGCAACACTATTCTTTCAAAAAAACGTATAACTGGCAACACTATTCTTTCAAAAAAACGTATAGCTGGTAATATTTTTTTTTTTAAAAAAAAACCTACAGCTGGCAACATTATTTTTCCCAAAAAGTATTATCAGAGGCCTTGCTGTCGGACGTAGTTTATCGTCATACCCAGGACGCGGATGTAGTCTCAGTGTTAACTATTTGCCCATAGCTGGGACCCTAACAGGTGCCACCATCCAGGGTCAAGGTGGACCTGGGAACAGCAGCAATTAAGAGGTGGTTCCACACTCCTCAAAACCGCCTGATCAGAGGCCTTGCTGTTGAACGTAATTTATCGTCATACTCAGGACGGGTCTTTGCAGGTATTTATTTATGCATAGCATGTCTTGCGTAAACCTGGCGGAACCGGTTCCTCTGCGGGTCAGACCACAATCGATGTTCACTCCCATCTGCAGCCGGTGAAAATTCGCTGTAGTTAGTGTCTTTCTCGGCTGAACTCCTCGCCGGTGAAAACCTCAGAACCACTACACATGGAGTTGTCCGAAAAATTTCGGTACCAGAAACGATAATCTAAGGAATTTCTTTTTTTGTCGTTGCACATCGAACTAAACTGATCCTCGTCAAATATAACTCAAATCATTATTATTATTATTTGATCTGTAAACAATGCAAATGCTGATGGCGATGGAATAAAAGTACCAGCCGTCAATGACAAGTGCACTGAGGTATCACATTTCCATCATGATTCGAAAACTCTTCAGGAAAATCATTCTTCCTGATGTTATCGTTCTGACCATCTCTTGACCATAAATTGTACACTTCCTATTTTAAACTATATATATGGTGGAGGTTCGGGGGGGAGTGGGATACCATTTTTGTCGAAGAAGTGCCTTCTGAATACCTTTAAATCCTGAATACCAAATCACGTGTTGACCCAAGCCTTGTGAGTGAAATTTGGTAAACGGAACATTTTGGACCGTCGATAGCTGTACTAGCACGAAGTGACAAGTCATCGTGACCGAGGTTTTGAGTGTGCTGGTGTTGTTCAGATTGTTAATCAGTCTAGATAACACGCTCTCTCCCAGAAACTGTAACTAAGGTCTGCTCAGCATAGTTGCAGTATAAACCACAGGTTTGAACAAAACACAAATGTGCATAAGCGAGTGTCTGCAATAGGGATTGGCCAGCTGCTCTAGTAGACGGGTATCCTCAAATTCGAGTGGCCAGCTATTATATATTTATATATATATATATATATATTATATATATATATATATATATATATATATATATAGGCAGCAATCCTTCCTTTATGCATGTTTCATTAAAACGACAGACAAGGTACTACGGTTAAGCTTTTTATTTAATTTTTCTTGTGTTCTAACAAGAGCTTTCTTTTCTGGACAAAGGGTGTGTAAGAACTGTCCAAATGTTTTATATTTCCGAGCGCTTTCGGCTATACATTTAGCCATTAGCAAGGATGATTCGATTTTCAGCTTAATTGAGTGTGTGCGTTCTGTGTATGTATCAGTGTGTAGTAGGGATGTTTTTAATTTCCGAATACGGTTAGCACGTTGTGGCTTTGTCCGTAGTTAATATTGTTAAGAGTTGGCTTTTTTTTTTTTATTGTTAAAGCTTCCATTATTTTTAGTCTTTTTTTGCAAGTGGATGCAGTTAATACATTTGTGTTTTCTACTAGTATGTTCCTAATGGTGTCGGGTAAATCTGTGTGTGTGTTTAAATGGGTTCTAATGGAGCTGTGATCACATAGGTGTAACGTAAGATGTCTGGATAAGCATGTGGTTGTGTAACCGATGTAATTATTTATGAGTCCGGTTTGATCAGGAACACAGTTCCTTAAGGGGCATTTGAATTCATAGATAATGTTCGTTCTTTGTAATTTTGACTTAACTGGTGTGTTGTTATTTTTGAGGATAAGGTTGGCTGTCTTGACATTTTTATAATAGATAATTAATTTTATTTTTTTATTCGAATCAATTGGAGTTGTATGTTTCTTTATAATATGCCTTAGTGAAAATTCGTCTTGTTTGTAATTAATATGCATTTGGTTTTTGTAATCAAATGTAATGTCAATCGACATCTCCAGTTGCCTTGATCCTTCTCCTCATCCTTTCCGCTATCACTCCTATCTGCTCTAGCTCCAAATCTTCTATAACCCCTTGCGTCCTAGTGGCTTGCTTGGGGTGAAACGCTTAAAAAAAAATGTGTATGTGATTTTTGGCTGTGTGTTTACTATCATTATTACTTACTTTTTGGAGAACTAGTCTAATTTGGTGGTCTATAAGGTGGTTAGGGAAGCCGTTGTTGATTAGTGTTTGTTTAACATTATTAAGTTCTTTGAGGAAGAGTAGTCGAGTGGATGAATTCTAGTGGGCTCTATTTAGAAAGTTTTTATTACTGCTATTTTGTACCTAAGTGGATATATATTCTGTTGATACGTTATTCTTATCTATACGTAATATATGCTAGGCTATGAAGATTTGATCGAATATGAATCTTCAGGTTTTCCTCCATATTACCGCCTATTAAATTACCTGGATATTTCCGCACTCTTAACTCAACTGCGCGTATTTGAGTATATGTTGCATAGCCCTTTGGTGGGGGTTGATCTTGAGGAGACGGCGTCGATTCGCTCACATTGTTGGATCTTCTCTCTCTTCTCTTTCTCCCGGTCGGGTGCCGAAATGTTTTTTGGTAGCGAAATGTTTTTGCTTCGGAATTAAAAGAGAGACATCAATAAAGGGAATTTTAACTTTTTATCAAACAGGTCGACGTGTATATTTCTAGCTAGCCAGTGAGGTCGCTCTATCACCCCCACTGGAGAACAAGCTGCCAAACACGAATTAACACGTCTGCATTCTCTGACGTGTAAAACTTAACTCCCTGAAATCCCTTTCTACATTAAACATTCCCACGCTAGTTTTAGCCAATCAACCTCAAAGGTCAAAAAAGAGGAAGTCAGAGGAGAAATACAATTCTCTAAAAAATAACTCTGCTAAACTATTATTTAACACCCAGTATAATGTTCAAGAGCCACTCAAGGTAGAGTTGCTGAGTGAGATTGTAAGGGAGGAGGAAGTAAGAAAGTAACGAGGGCGAGTAGAATAGATATCAATTGGTCCTGGATTATAATTGTCAGGGAAACATCATCTTGGGAGCTTCTTCCACAAAGTAACAGTTCTGGGGAAAAAGCTGTTTGAAAACTTTCATTTTTTTTTCAAAGGAACACGAAGTTGTGTCCTAGCTGTGAAGGTCTGAACTGTTGGAACTAAGGAATTTAGCTCGCTCGAACATCTGCCATAGCAATAGCGATATGATAGTGTAAGGCTAGCAACATTATCTCTGTAGGAAACGGGTGATTGGACGAGCTTTTGAACTCTGTCAAATCTGGACAGTGACGACTGGGCAGCATCAGCCCAGATAGGCCAGCAACGCCCCTTTCTTGGTCTGACGTGACTCTTGTAAAGATAGAGCATGGCAGATGGAGTTAGCCATTTTCTGGTGCGATACAAGGAACTGGCCATATTTACAGCATCTTTAACGGTGGCACGAATGTACGCGTTCCATTTGAGGTCGGGCGTGAGCTCAAGTTCCGATAGGCGTTCAAGGAAAGAAGCTTATTTGAGGGTATGACCAAACCTCAGGATTGGTGCAGGATTAAGATGTGGCTCTCACTCAATCTCCCGCGATGACTACGGCATCAGAGAGGATACTGCGAGAGGTGCTGGAGAGAGTTAAAACGGCACTACCAGCTATCTTATTCAACTTTTCCTTATATATATACATATATATATATATATATATATATATATATATATATATATGCATGCCAAAAGAGGCAGGAGCTACAAGACAGCAGGTTGATTTTAATTCAGTGTTCCATTTCTTAAATTGGTTGTTCTGCTATTTACCCATGTAGAGAAGAGATAAATTCATGTAATTGAATGCAATGAACTCGACTGGAATTCGAACATAGTTCTCTGATTCCTCAATCCGAACCGCTATCCATTACTCCACCGTGCCTGCCTGCTTACTCCTTCCTCTCTCTCACTCACTCATTCGCTCTCTCTCTCTCCTCTCTCTCTCTCTATATATATATATATATATATATATATATATACATATTCAAACGTTAGTATAGTGACACTTCGTATTTGAAATAGACGCCCAACTTTTATTTATTAAACAGTGTGCTGTCCTTTTCAAATACGAAATATTCGCTATAATAATGTTTGAAATAATAAAAATGTTGAATTAAAAATAAATCCATAATATATATGTGTGTGTGTGCGTTTGTGTGTGTGTCTGTCCGATAGTGTGTGTTTAGTAAGCTTAAGGCCATAAATTTTGAGCTCTTTGTAAGAATAAAACTCACCACATTATTAAATATGTGCCCGCCAAGCGTTCTCATCACTCTCGCAAGTGTTCTCAAGCGTTCTTGCTACACTTCGAAAGTTAATTCCACACACGCACACGCATATATATATATATATAGATAGATAGATAGATATAGAGATAGATAGATATGAATAGACTTAGATAGATAGATAGATAGATAGATACGCTCAGACTGAGAGAGACAGATATGAATAAGATAGATACATAGATAGATACGAGCAAACTGAGATAGATAGATAGATAGATAGATAGATAGATAGATAGATAGATAGATAGATAGATAGATAGATAGAAACAGAGTGGGATAGATAGAAACAGAGTGGGATAGATAGATAGATAGATAGATAGATAGATAGATATAGGTTTGTAGTATTATTTTCTACAGAAGAATGTGGCTTCAGGCTTATCAGATTTACAGATTTATAAAAAGATATCCAATTGCAATTTCCCAAGACAGAAACACGCATGCGCACTATCCAGTTCACACCGAGTCGTTTAGGGAATTCCAATTAAACATGGCTGAATGATGTCCAGCAGTTCCGTTCAGAAATAAACCGAAAGCTACACATTATTTACTCCAGCGAAAATCCTTCTATTTTCCTAATTATAAACACTGATTTTTGCTGTATTTTCATTGAATTATCTTTAATTAAAATTGTTTAATGAGAGAAAAAACAAACATGTCTACTGTTAAACTATAATTCTGCTTACAGCACTGGATGAAATTCAAGAAGACTAAGGAAGCGGGAGAAACAGTTTTTGATGAGCCTGTGATTAGTAACCTAGCCTCTTACACATAACCGTTTTGACTTTCATCAATTCTGGATGCCCTCTACTTATATATATATATAGCCTTGTGCCATGTAAAACTAACCTTCGTAAATATCAGTTTTGGACAATTCGATATGCAGCAGTGGTTAACGGGTTAGTTTTACACACTGAGAGGATATTCGGAAAGTAATGACGTGTTACCAGACAGGCTATAAAACAACTGCCAGTTAAATTTATTGAAATTTTAAGGTTTTTGGAAAGTAATGACGTGTTACGAGACAGTTTATAAAATAACTGCCAGTTGAAATATTAAGGTGTCCGGAAAGTAATGTCGTGCTACCAGACAGGGTATAAAAACAACTGCTAGTTAAATTTATTGAAATATTAAGGTGTCCGGAAAGTAATGACGTGTTACAAGACAGTCTATAAAAATAACTGCCAGTTAAATTTATTGAAATATTAAGGTGTTTGGAAAGTAATGACGTGTTACGAGACAGTTTATAAAATAACTGCCAGTTGAAATATTAAGGTGTCCGGAAAGTAATGTCGTGCTACCAGACAGGGTATAAAAACAACTGCCAGTTAAATTGAAATATTAAGGTGTTTGGAAAGTAATGTCGTGTTACCAGACGGACTACAAAATTGTAATCATCCTCATTTTCAGTGACTAGCCGAACTTGAAGCCAAATTTTCCGATCCATATTTGAAGACATCTGCTCCTCACACCCGGAAATGAAAAGTTTGAAAGACAGTTTTCAAGTTCTTTGTTTCTGAATATTCTAACTTCTCATGAAATATTCTAGCGATCGAAACATGAAAATTTATATTGATTTATTTTTTACGGCTTATGAACCATTTCTAGGTTTTTTAAAGCTAGAAAATATTTTCAGACTGTAAAAGATTTATGGTGATAATAATTTACCGACACAAGTCTTACTACTTAACCCATAGATGGGGGAAGGAGTATATTCATACCGTTCCCGTGGGTATTTGTAAAGGAATAGAACGAATGTGACTGGAATTGGAACTCAGCTCTCAGATTTCCAATTCCGAGCCGTTATCGATTACCCCGTTCGCACATTTAGGCATAGAGCAACCAGTATTCCCAAACAGTCACCCATCTAGGCACTGACAAGACTCGACGTTATTTAACTTCGGTGATCGTACGAGAGACGGTGCTACAACGTAATATGGCTGTAAACATGAAAGACAGCCACCTGGAAGAACTCAAACTTCCGATTGACAGAAAACTTTAGAAATCATCTGCAATAGTGTATGGCGAATGGAGGCCACCATTAAAAGCAACGTTTTTAAAAAAATATTTTAGTGCAACCCACAGCAAGAACCTCATTTTGGCATTGTGTTCCATTATCTCTACGTGTAATAAATCAAAGACAAACTCTGTTCACAAGGTTCATTTATTTAGCATCGACAACTTATATGTATATCTCTTATAATCTGCAAATATTGGAATTGCGTTTGTATGAATATAAAATTATTACTTTTAGAAAAAAACAAATTTAAGGGAAATTCTGACACAAAGCTAAAGTAAATAATATTTTTAAAAAAATGTCATTTAATTAGATGGATGTGCTTTTTTGTTCATAAGCTGATGATTTCAATTAGGATCACAGAAAGACACTGCTACACGCATATCAAGTGCAGTGTTGATCCTGTTTCTGTTCTTCATCTTAAATTGAGTTAATGTGGAAAATCTCAGTTCAATCAAGTAAAAGGTTACAGTAATAAAATAGGCTTTTTACTCATTAGTGGAAATTAGCCTTTTTTCTTAACCCAAAACAAGATACATAAACTCAATGAGAACAGATTATATATATATATATATATATATATATATATATATATATATATATATATATATATATATATATGTATGTATTATAAAAAAAATATAATATAATACGAGTTTACCTTAGTGAAAAACTAATGATGATTTATGAATACTGTGCAACATTTAGAGTTGTTTATATACTGCCTCAATTGCGCATTATTGTTTTTGATCTTTCTTCAATTTTGTCGCGACCCATTTTATTTATTTCGCGACCCACTGAATAGTCTGGACCCACAGTTTCAAAAAACCTGATTTTGAGGATATCACTTTTAACACCAAATGCGTCAAAAGCGTAGCCTTTTGTTTAAATAACAGCGATTATTTTTAAATAGAAGTTACCATGATCTTTTTGTCAACCATTAAATTTTGCGATGTATTTTTGCCACAAACCTGTGTGAATAAAACATTGTTTTTTATTTATTGGATACCTATGCGTTAGCATAATATTATAACATTTTAGGGAGAATATTTTCTCCTCGAAATACTGAAATCGTTACACACTGCATCGGTAAGTAGGTAGTTAGGTAAGTGCTAACTTGAGCAAGGTTTTTCCAACTGTTGGTCCCGACCTATCAGAGTGTCGCGAGATAAATGAAATGGGTCGCGACAGAAAAGAAAGAAAAAATACGCAAGTGAGAGCAAAGTGCGTAATATAAACAACTCTAAGAGTTGCACGGCACAAATCATCACTAGGTTTTCAAAGGTAGGCTCGTATATATATATATATATATATATATATATATATATATATATATATTACAGTCTGTTATCATTGAGTTTATGTATTCTATTCATCAAATGCGTTGCGGACTGAGTGACATCACTTTTCGCCAAAACTTAACTCCGTATGTTTGTAATGCGTTCCTTCTCGTGGCCAATGAAAGCCGTTAAGATTGTTGAATAATTCAGTTGCACCTCGACTCAATGTCGAAGTCGAGTACTAGTACATTCTTTCTGTGCCATTAAGATGATATTTTGTGTTCATTTGAAGTTTTCGATGAGTGGTCTGTTGTTTCGACGAAATTTAAGAAGACCTAGTTTGTTTTGTTTTTTTCAAGTAATAAGTTTATATTCGTACAAATAGATAATACAAATAGATACATGCAATTCCAATATTTGCAGATCATAAGAAATATACATATAAATTGTTGATGCTAAAAAATGAACCTAATGAAAAGAGTTTGTCTTTGATTTATAACATGTAGGTAATAATGGGTCACAATGCAAAATGTGGTTCTTGCTGTTGGTCACAGTAAAAGAAAGTTTTAAAAATGCTGCTTTTTTAATGGTGGCTTCCATTCGCCATACACTATTGCAGGTGATTTCTAAAGTTTTCCGTCACTCAGAAGTTCGAGGTTTTCAAGATGGTTCTTGCCGAGGGTCGTAGTAAAAAATAATTTGAAACGCTGAACTAGAGTATCAAGGTATAGCTTCTCAACTATTCGTATTAGTATATAAATCATTGGTGAGTGAAATTGATATTATTGTTCAGATCAGGTTGAGGTTGGTAGACCTTTATAGCATTATGCTAATAACTAGGATATGCCCGCGAAAATTTCCCAGTTTTCCTATTTTAATTTACGGAAGAATCCTAATTCTTCAGTTAATGACTGGATAATTTCATGGCAAAGTCCTACGACAATCAAATATCCGTAGAAATTCCCCCATCGCATCGTTAAATATTTGAGTTTATCGACAACAACAAAATATTGCAATAACAATCATAATACGAAGGCTGGCAGCACCTCGACGCGGTGTAATGGTTAGCATGCTTGTTCTCGCGAGAACAGTTTACACTGAGTAGAGAGTTTGATCCTCACTGGGTAGCCCATACTTTCGGCATTGTGTCACATCTAGGCTACGCTTGGAAAATCACCATAAATATGAATGCTGGTTGTTAATGTAAGAAGTAAAGGAATACAAACGAAACGATTTGAAATTGGCAACTTTTTTTTCTATTTCACTGAAACAGACGTTAACTATTTATATCTTCTTTTCTTTCTTTCATTTACTCACTGAAACCAAGTAGCGTCTCTGATATAACTTTTCACGCGTTCAGAACAGAATAGTCTCTTATTTATTAGTTATTAGCAGGGCGTAAAGGTCGTGCTATAACTAAGAGAGGGTCAAGTAGTTTTATAATAAAATGGCTAATGGTGTGACGTGGGTGCCGTGACTCATTTGATAAAAAGATTTTCTTTTAAAAATCGTATTTGTATAAACTGTAGCTATGGCGGATGGTGGATTTTGCCGCGGCTTATCGCTGATAATGGCGTCGATTCTTCAAACACTTTTT